GGATAACTGGACAGCCACATGCAAAAGAATGAAAGTAGACCATTATCTTTCACTATACACAAAAATTATCTCAGAATGGATCAAAGACTTGAAGGTGAGATGTGAAACCAGAAAATTCCTAGAAGAAAATATAGGAAGTACACTCTTTGACAATGGTCGTAGAAGGATCTTTTCAAATACTGTATCGACTTCGGCAAGAGAAACAAAAGAAAAAGTAAACAAATGGAACCACATCAGACTAAAGAGCTCCTCCAAGACAAAGGAAACCAGGAACAAAACAAAAAAGAAACCCACCAACTGGGAGAAAATATTTGCAAATCATATATCTGACAAGGTGTTAATCTCTAAAATATATAAAGAACTCACACAACTCATCAATGAAAAACAACCACCTTATCAAAAGATGGGCAGAGGGTATGAACAGCCATTTTTCCTAAGAAGATATACAGATGGCCAATAGGCACATGCAAAGATGTTCAACACCACTAATCATAAGAGAAATGCAAATCAAAACGACAATGAGATATCACCTTACACCTGTTAGAATGGATATAATTACCAAGAGAATAACAACAAATGTCTGAGAGGGTGTGGAGAAAAGTCACCCTCATCCACTGCTGGCGGCAACGCAAACTGGAGCAGCCGCTATGGAAAACAGTATGGAGATTTCTCAAAAAGTTAAAAAGAGAAATACCATACAACCTGGCCATCCCTCTACTGGGTATTTATCCAAAGAACTTGAAATCAACAATTCAAGGAGACATTCACCCCTATATTCATTGCAGCATTATGCACAACAGCCAAGGTGTGGAAGCAAACCAAGTGCTAAAAACTGACAAATGGATATACATACAATAGAATACTCAGCCATGAAAAAAGGAAAAATCATCCCATTTGCAACAACATGGATGGACCTTAAGGGTAGTATGTTAAGCAAAATAAGCCAAAGACAGACCCCATGTGATTTCACTCACATGTGGAAGATAAAACACATGGACAAAAAGAACAGATTAGTGGTTACCAGAGGAGAAGGTTAGGGGATGGACGTAAGGGATAAAAGGTCACTTACATATGCTGACTGACAACTAATAATGTACAATGGAAGTTCCACAATGTTATAAACTAATATGACCTCAATAAAATAAATTTTAAAAAATTAAAATTAAGGGGCCGGTCCAGGGTTGTAGTGGTTAAGTTCACGCTCTGTGCTTTGGCAGCCTGGGGTTCAGGGCTTCGGATCCCAGGCACAGACCTAAGCACTGCTCATCAAGCCATGCTGTGGCAGCATCCCACATACAAAAATTAGAGGAAGATGTGCACAGATGTTAGCTTAGGGCTAATCTTCCTCAGCAAAATGAGGCCTGCCTTTCCCCTTTTCTTCTCTTTTCTTTAAGGATTGCTCTTGTAGGAGTGACCATGTAATGGACACAACTCTTGCACAGGGTATATAGTCCCTGTCTACCATCCCGGTCCCTGGGGTGTGTCAGGCCAACCCAGTTTGTGTCACAGCTTCACTCTAACACACAGATAAATCTTGGCAAACATATTGACCCAGGAGTCATTTAGGGAGGCCCCAATCCCATACTCCTGCTCCCAAATGCCTATACAATCTTGAAACTGCCAATGCTGGTGAGTTGAACCTAGAACTGAGGTTGGTGGGTCAACAATGCAACACGGGGCAGCACAGCTCCCAGCACGAGCTCCCCAGCAAGCAGCAGCCCACAGCACATGCCGTCACCAGACAGCAGAGACGGGGAGCAAGTCAGAGCAAGAGAAGACAGACCCACGGGTGGGGTCATGTCTGGACATGCTGCACAGGTGCCAACTGTTATGGTCACCTGCAGAGGGGTGGTTCCCCTGTTGGGACTGATGCCAGGGTGGCACAAACACACACACACAGGGTAGGAAAAGGCTTAGGACTCACATAATACAGGAATCAGGGGAGGACAGGGCAGGCCTCTCAAGCAGCTCTGACAGGGCTCAGAAAGCAAGGAATGGAGCCTGGCCTGGGGCTTCACTGGGCCTGGGGGTGGGGCCGGGGCAAGAGCTCTGCACACAGGCAGGGGCTGGGGTGGTGGGAATCTCCTGCCTGCTCTAGAGGAGAGACACCCAGGCTTCTCCTCAGCTTGTCCAGGTCGGGGCACAAGGGAAGAGGGTGGGTGAGGCTTAAGCTGTGAGCAGTCACCCAAAATGTGGAGTCTGACTGCTCAGTACAAGGACAAAGTGGGTAAGAAAAATATGCATTCTCTATTGATTTATGTAAAGAAACACTAATAGGAGCCTCAAAAATATATTTGGGGGTGACTTGATTACCACTGCTGCAGGGGACCAGGATATGTTGACAGTGAGTCTTCTTAAGGTAGAGTTTGCTGTCTTACAGATTTATTTCAAATAAACAGAGAAATTTATGTAACTATATTTTACCATTTAACAGTCTTTAATTCTAACTTTTGTACATCGGAAACCATCCTAAGATTTAATTCCTTTAAATACTATTGGTTGCAAAAGTTTACACAATTCAAAATGAAAATTTTCAAATCTCTTTCTCACTAAAAGGGCATGTGGCGTCCTACTTTGTCCCTCCCCTGTATCTCATGCTGGGGATATTTTGGGGAATAAGCAGCATATTATAATGCAATCAGGGTTTGTGTTTAAAAGCTTACACGTATTGGATTTTAAAAGACTTACATAAGCTTTCAGAAGTTTTCCTCACATAAATTAAAGTAGAATTTCAATTATTTTAGCCTTTTAAATTTCTATATTCTCTAGAGACATGCATATAGAAAAATGGATCTAAAAATGAAACATGTACCTGAGAACTTCAATACATTCATCTGACATCTTGAGGTTCTCTTTCCTAAATGGAACAAAAATTCTATTTGTTTCTAGAATTTTCTTGCTTTCCTCACATCCTACTCTGAATCAACTTACAGTCTCAGGGCCCGAGTGCTAAGGGAAACCAGAGCCAAAGGGCTGCCCTAGTCCATCGATAAAGGAATCCAAAGGAAAGAAATACAAATACTGGAATCAGCTCAGATGAGCAGCCTGCTTCCCACAGGACAGAAGGAAAGCCTCAGTCAGAAGGTCCCAGGTTCCTGACTCTCCTGGTGGAGACAGAGCCCTGGAGGGGGTCAGTCCCTGGAGAAGGAGGGGAGGGCACCTGAGCAGCCACAGGAAGGAGCTCTGGGAGCCCCACACACCCTCCTCTCCCCAGGGAACAGTGCACATGCTCCCTCTCTCAGGCTCCATTCTCACAGTGAGGAAACTCAGCTGGATCCAGTTTAAGGTTCTGACCCAAATGGACCCCAGATGAATGGGCCCTAACCCAGGACACAAGAGCTCCTGACTCTCACAGACTTTCTCAGTGTAAACAAATTACTCTCTGAGTGCACCTACACTGTGGATGCAAAACTCCAACTATGTCTAGAAACAGGCCCAAGGGAACCACAGTGACAACCTCAGAAAGGGCGTCACTCCCCACCCCATGAGCACGTGCACCCCCAGCTTTCCAGGGCTCTGCAGCTCCTCTCAGGAGAAAGGCTCCTTCCATGGGGGTGTGAGCAGTAGGACACCTGCAGGGGAGGCTCGCCAGGAAGAACAGCTGGGCCTTCAAGGCCTTCCCTCTGCAGGTCGAAGGGGCACTTAGCTCAGAGACACTGCCCTCAGGCCTCTCTCCCCACAGGAGTTTTTTTGACCACTGTTGACATTTTAAATACACAAACCCAGTGTGTGAACAATCCAGTGAAAACACTCAAACCAGTCTTATGTGGAAATGAGGGAAGAAAATTGTATGGCAGTTTTCTGACTCAACAAGAAACCCCACAAGCATGCATTGCATTCTGGAAAAAAAAAAGATGTTTATTTTTTCCAAGACAAGAAATTTTTTTTATAAACTATTAATCATACTTGAACACTGCTGTTCTGCACATCTAAGTCCTGGAAATCCACTTGAACTCACCCAAAATAAAAGAACAGATGTCAGAATGTTAGTATCATGCTCAGGGGAGGAAAAACGAAAAATAATTTTTAAATCATGCAATGTAAAACTGGAATATTTTATTTTTTCTGAAATTCACTTCTTTTCTCCCTCTTTGGAGATATTTTATATTGTCAAGCCGTATTGATTAAATAAATTTTTATTCACTGAAAAAACTGAGACTAAATTTAAGTGAATACCTCTTTTCAAGGTGACAACCCCAGGGAGGGGCGGTGCTGACAGGACAGATGGCCCGGAAAAGTTTCTCAAGAGGAACCTGCAGCAAAGGACTGCCAGCTGCGCGTCGGCGCCCAGGTCGCAGCCTTGAGGAGAGGCGGGAGGAGCTCGCACCACGCGCCTCCAGGGGGATGCGCTACTTTCTCTCAAGAAAAACATCCACGAACGAGGAATAAACCCTCTTGAAAGAGCCGCCCACTGACTACGGAAAAGTGATAAACAACTAAAATATCGGGTCTGTTTGTGGTTGATGACGATGCTGTGACTCGGGGACGGGAAGTTGGCGTTCGGGAACGTGAGGAGGAATCTGGGAATTTAGGGATTTACTGTCGGTCCTGGAAGAGCTGGGGGAACAGGGTCGCTGACTTGAGACCCTGCTCCCCAAACGTTTAGAAAACTCAGGAGAAAACGGGTCCCCTCCGAGGAGAAAGGAGGCCCTGGGGACCCACAGACCGCAGCCCCTCCGCGCACGGACCTCGGACACCGAGGCCCGACTGTCCTGCGGGCCCTCCCCCGGGCCCCGCACCGTCTGGGACACGCGGGGCTGCGGGCGCACAGCGGCCCAGAGACGCTCCGGCCCAAGTCGCCGCGCGCAGGGACCACAGGACGCCCTGGCCTGGCTGCCGGCCCCGCCCCCACGCTGCGGCCGGAGGGGCCTGAGGGCCGAGCGGCGCCACCGCGGACTCGGGGCCGCAGACCCCGGAGGGGACCGCGGGAGGCCGGGCCCGCCCCGCCGCTTCCCACCAGCCCCTCCTCCCGTGTCCTCACCCCAGGACCGCACTCTCACCATTGCTGAGTGTCCTGGGTCCCCTGAGTCCTTCCTATAATTCAGCACAGGTAACAGTGAGACAAAGTCAGTCGCAGAGCAACGTGGGGCCTTTAAGGACAGGCGACCTCAATCTTGAAGGATCGTGGAGGGACAGGAAGTAGGGGGTGGGCGCAGAGACTCGCCCCACCCACCTGCCCCGGCGCCGACCCTGATTGGACAGTTCAAAACCCCCGCCCCCTCGCTCTTGAGTGACAGCGGGACAGACGTTTCGTCTCTGAGCTGACCGGGAGCTGGACCTAGTCCTCTCCCGGGACTTTCTATTGAAATTTCTTCCTGCGAGGCCACTTGAGGAACTGTGACCCTTCTTTGCGGACAGAGATACTTAAAAGTCACCTCCCCATATGTAATAATTAGACTGACTCCACTCTGATCTTTGATCTTCCACCCGGCGCTTCCCCACCCCGACTCATATCACAGTTTACAAAATCCTGTGGCCTCCCAAGCCCTTCGCTCTGCTGGGAAGTTGGAACCTGTAGCCCCAAGTGGGCGCAAGATCTCTTCTCAGTCTAACCACAAGGTATGAGATGTGTTCATTCAGTTCTAAGGTGTACGTTTTACACTGGAGGGAAATTTCTTTTAGATCATTTTTTGAGTGTATCCTGAAAGATCTTTGAAATGTAAAAGTCTATAGTATCCCTAAGGAAATTCAGTTCCCATTTGGACTGATATAAAAACAAAGCAAGAAAAGGTTATGTAAATGTGGGATGTACTGGAAAGTATTCATATGCTAAAGAGATTGGATTATAAAACTCATTTGCATTGCAAAACAATGCATTTATCCACTTATTTGAACAGTTTTTTTTTTTTTTTTTTTTTTTGCTTTTGCTCCCCAAATCCCCCCAGTACATAGTTGTATATTTTAGTTGTGGGTCCCTCCAGCTGCGGCACGTGGGACGCCGTCTCAACATGGCCTGAGAGCGGTGCCACATCTGTGCCCAGGATCCAAACTGGTGAAACCCTGGCCGGCAGAAGCCGAGTGCGCAAACTTAACCGCTTGGCCACTGGGTGGCCCCTGAGCAGTTTTTTAAAGATACAATACACGTACCATACAAGGGAACCCTGTAAGGTCTACAACTCACTGGTCTTCAGTATATTCACAGATACTGTGCAATTATCACTGCCGTCAATTTCAGAACATTTCCATCACCTAAAAACAAACGCCTCCACCCTTAACCTCTCGCTGCCCTGTCTTCCCACCTAGCTCCTCGGAGCACTAACCCCAGACAGCCACTAATCTATTGTCAGTCTCTATAAATTTCCAAATTTCTTGACTTTCAGATGAATGGAATTGTATAATAACTTGGTCTTTGTGTTTAACTTCATTCACTTGGTATAATTTTTTTAGGGAATTCTACATTGTAGCATGCATCAATACTTCATTCTTCTTTTTCTTTTTCTTTTCTTTCTTTATTTTTTAAAAGATATTTAATTTTTTTCCTTTTTCTCCCCGAAGCCCCCCGGTACATAGTTGTATATTCTTAGTTTTGGGTCCTTCTAGTTGTGGCATGTGGGACACTGCCTCAGCGTGGCTCCATGAGTGGTGCCATGTCTGCGCCCAGGATTCGAACTGACGAAACACTGGGCCGCCTGCAGCAGAGCTCACGAACTTAACCATTACGCCCTGGGGCCGGCCCCATTTCTTTCTTTTTAAAGTTGAGATATAATTGATTTATAACATTATATTTGTTTCACGTGTACCACAATAAGGTAACATCCATCACCACACAGTTACAATTTTTTTTCTTGTGATAAGAACTTTTAAGATCTACTTTCTTAGCTAATTTTAAATATACAATTCAGTAGTATTAATTATGGTCACCTTGCTGTACATTACATCGCCATGACTTAGTTTACAATGTGAAGTGTGCACCATTTGACCACCTTCTATATATTTTCCATAAAAGTTACATCTTATCCATATTTAAGTGTATAGTTCAGTAGTGTGAAGTACACTGACATTGTGAAACCAATCTCCAGAACTCTTCATCCTGCAAAACTGCAACTCTGTACACGTGAAACAGCAGCACCCCACTGCCCTGTACTCCAGCCCCTGACAACCATCATTCTGCTGTCTCTATGAATTTGACCACTCTAGGCACGTCACGTCAGTGGAATCATACACTTTTTGTCCTTTTTTTGACTGGCTTGTTACACTTAGACTAATGCCCTCAAGGTTCACCTGTGTTGTAGCATGTGTCAGAATTTCATTGCTTTTAAAAACTGAATAATATTCCGTCATATGTGCATACCACATTTTGTTGATCCATTCATCTGTTGATGGATGCTTGAGTTGTTTTCACTTTTTGGCTACTGTGAATAATGCTCCAAGAACACAGGGGAACAAATATTTGTTTGGGACTGTGTTTTGAGTTCTTTGAGGTATATACTCAGAAATGGAATTGCTGCATCATAGGGTAACACTCCCTGTAATTTTTGAAAAAGTGCCATACTGTTTACCACAATGGGGACATGATTTTACATTCCCACCAGAAGTGAACAAGGATTCCCATGGGTGTTTTCACTTTCTTGATGGTGTCCTTTGAAGCAAAAAAAAGGTTTAATTTCGATGAAGTTCGAAACTTTTTTTTTTTTTTTACTGTTTTTGCCTTTATTGTCACATCTAATAATTCTTTGCCAAATCCAAGGTCATTTTTTCCCCTGTGTTTTTTCTAACAGTGTTATAGTTTTAACTCTGGTTTCAGTCTTCAATCCATTTTGGTAAATTATTGTATGTGGTGTAACGTAAGGGTCCAACTTCATTCTTTTGCATGTTGCTATCCAGTTGTCCCAGTACCAGTTTTTGAAAAGAATGTTCTTTCCTCGTTCTTGGCACCTTTATTGAAAATCGCTTGACCATAGATGAGTGGGTTTATATATGGAATCTCAATCAAATCCATTGATCTGTGTGTCTGTCCTTGTGTCATTATCTCATTCCTTGGATTGAGTAGTCAGATCTGAAATCAGGAAATGTTAATCTTACTACTTTGTTTTGCTTTTGAAGATTTGTTTGGCTATTCTGATTTCCATATAATTCCATATGATTTATGAAACATTTGCCAATTTCTAATGTCAACTTAAAAAGCAAATTTGCCACTTATTTTATCTCAAAATGAGTTTATTCAAGAGTAGCCAAAAGAATTGCAATTTGGGATGTGAATGCTTTGCAAACCAGAGGCAAATCCAGAAAACAAAGAAAAGGAGCTGCTTTTATAGAGAAAAAGGGAGAGTAGGGAGGGGCTGTTCTAAATGAAAATACTTGGGGGAAATAACAGCTCAGGGCAGCAATGGCTCTTCATTGGCTGAGCTATGGAATTTCTCATTGGCTGGGGACATGCAATTCATTTATATTTCGATCTTGTATCCTACAACATTACATAATGCAAGTGTCAGTTCTAGTAGTTTTTTTGGTGGCCTTCTCAGAGTTTTTGATGTGCATTTGTAGGGGCAGAATAATTCCTCTTCTTCCCTCCCAGGTTCTTTGGTCTGATAATTAAAACGACCTAAGACAGATTAACAGAAGGAACACATATTTAATTACCTACGTATGGGAGCCCCATAAAAAATGGGACTCAAAGAAGTAACCAGAGCAGGAAGCTTTCATGCCTTTTAGGCAAAGAAACAATAAATTGGGGAAGAATTGCCAAGGCAGAGTACTTTGGGCTAGTTGTAGTAAATGCTGCAGAAATAACAAGGTTTGTACAGCCTTCTCAGTCCTAATTCCCTGTCTCTGATGATAAAGTTGCCTTCTGCCCTTCTGATTCAAGGAGGATACTTTTCACATGGAAAATCCATCTCCAACTTTCTTGGGGACAAAGGAGGGCCAGAGTGTCGTTTATTTATTTATTTATTTTTTTGGTGAGGAAGATTAGCCCTGAGCTAACATCTGTTGCCAATCATCCTTTTTTGCTTGAGGAAGGTTGTCCCTGAGCTAACATCTGTGCCAATCTTCCTCTATTTTGTGTATGGAGTGCTGCAAAAGCATGGCTTGATGAGTGGTGTGGAGGTCCACACCTGGGATCTGAAGCCACAAACCCCAGGCCACCGATGTGGAGTGCACAAACTCAACACCATGCCACCAGGCTGGCCCCCAGAACTTCTTTACTGAAATGTTTCTCAAGTACATTTAATTCAAAATAATCAATATGTCACTGTACCATATTTTGAGGTGACATATTCCAAATGCCCACACAAGATACCTCATCTGGAAGTAGAGAGTTTTACATCTTCCCAACCAACTTACTTGCATTTTATTTCCTTTTCTTGCCTAAGGGTTCTGGCTAAAATCTCCAATACATCCTAGAGAGACATCCTTCTTTGGTTCCTTATCTTCAGCAAAAAGCATTCCAGTCTTTCACTATTAAATATAATAATAGCTGGGGGTTTTGCATAGATGCTCACTATGAAGTAAGGAAATTCCCTTCCATTCCTGGTATGCTGAGTGTTTTAATCCTGAAAGTGTACTGATTTTGTCAATTATTTTCCTTGAGTCTATTGAAATGATCTTGCCATTTTTGATTTTTACTCTATTGATATCCTTTGGTACATTAATAGATTTTGAGATGTTAACCCAACCTTTCATCCTTGGAATAACCCCACTTGGTCATGGTATATAATTCTTTTTATACGTTGCTGATTGGTCTCACTAGTATTTGTTGAGATTTTTTGCATTCATATTCAGAAAAGAGAAGTGTAGTTTTTTTGGCAATACACTTGGTTTTGGTATCGGAGTAGTACTGTCTTCACGAAATGAGTGTGAAGTGTTGTCTCCATGCTATTATTTAGAAGAGCATGTGAGGAATCTGTAATAAATCTTCACTTAGTGTTTTTGGAGAATTCTGAGTTGAACCCATCTGAGCCTACACTTACTTAGAGGGTTTTTTCTTTACTGATTTAACTACTTCACTTTTCAAGTTCTGTTCAAATTTTCCATTCCTTCTTGAATTAATTTCAGTACTTTCTGTCTTTTGAGGAACTTATCCATTTCATCTGAGTTACCTAATTTGTGACCATACGATTGTTCTTTGAATTCCTTTATAATTCTTTTTATTTCTGAAATATCAGCCATAGTATTCTCTTTTCTCTTGATTGTATTGATTTGAATCTTCCTTCATTTTCTCTGGTTCAATTTAGGTGAAGATTTGTGGATTTTGTTAATCTTTCCATAGAACCCACTTTTGGTTTCATTGATTTTTCTCTTCTTCATTTCATTAATTCCTGCTCTGCTTTTATCATCTCCTTTTCCCCTTGCTGTGGGTTTGGTGCTTTGTCTTTTCAAGTCTGTTTAGGTGAGAAGTTACATCATTGATTTGAGATCTCTCTTCTTTGCTGGTACAGGCATTGATGCCTATAGATCATTTTCTATATTGGTTTTGAGAGGCCACCCATAAACGTTGACCCTTTCAGTATGATATAATGTTCCTCAGTATCACTAGTGACATTTTTTTGTTTTCAAGTCTCTTTGACTGGATATATGTATTATCTCCAGCTACCTTGTGGGTGCTGTTTTCCAATGTATATTTCCCATGCTTTTACCTTCAATCTCTTTGTATCTTTGAATCTGAAAAGTGCTTACTGTACACAGCATATACTTAGATCATGATTTCATTTCTTTTTTAAATCTGAGGTGACAATCTCCTTCTCCTGTTTGGATAATGTAATCCATTCACATTTAGTACTATTGACATACTTACAGTTACATCTGCCACCCAATCTTGAGATGGAACGAGGGCGATCAGCGCCTAAGTATTGTCAGCTCACCACTCCAAAGGCATCACCTCACTTCCACGGTAGGGACTGAAACAAT